AATTAAAGAGGAAATCAAGGAGTGGAGGCCTTTCATGGAAGATTCGCCTCTTCCATCCCACATCCAACCATTCATCATGTCATGAGAAATGTCCATGCATTTCAACATCGCATGTCTTCTTGACGTGCACATCGTGGAACATCAATGATTATTTTTTTTCTTTTATATAAAAATACTTTTAGATTATTTACTCAAAGAGTCAGCTATAATTAGCTTTTTACTTGGGAGCATCCTTAAGACAAAAAGAGAAAAAAGTATGTTTTTTTTGTTTTTTAAGATTATCTTGTGGTTTTATAGGGTTTGAGTGTGAACCTATCCAAATTCGATATAAAAATATCTCAAACCATCTAAAAATAGAAAAACAAATGAAAATACAACTTAATGTTGATTTTTTCTTTCTCGATTAAACTCTTCACACCTAAATCTCCAATATTCATCAAGCACCCAAGTCTCACGTTGACTAGCATGCATGCATCAGAGTCTCCAAGAGATAGATATATTGTGTCGAGCAAAATGCAAGAATTTCTTAGCCACGTGATAGAAGTTTGGATGAGTGTTCAAACCTTATAAAATCATAGGCAACTTCTTTCCAACCTCATGCCACATAGAAGGTGGAAATCAAGGTGCAGAGATCTTTAGGAATTCTTTCTATAATTTTGGACTCTTTCTATAATTTATTCTTAATTTTTTAGGAATTCTTTTTATAAGAAAAATAATTATTTTTTTAAAATTAAAATTTGTGTTCAACCAAGCAAACTTGTCCAAAATATTTTTATGAGTATTAAACTTCTTATGCCAATCATTCGGGTGCTAAAGATTGAGTCGGATTTGGCTCGAACTGAATCAACCCAACCGGGGATGTTGACCGAAGTCAACTTCTCACCGACCCCTCCTGCGTTCCTCGCCGCAGCCGTTCCCCGCGCCTGCGTTCACACAATGCACCGGCGCACCCGGGGGCGTTTCGCGCTCGCAGTCCTCACCGCGGCCGTAGCCCGCGGTCTTCATCGCCGCCTCCCCGTGGGCCCGCACCGCCTGCAGCACCCACAGTCGCCGAAGTCGTGCGCCTCAGCCGCAGTCGTCCGCCGCAACCGCCCACGTGCGGTAGCACCTCTCCGCTCACAGGCGGCGAGCCCTCCACCTTCCCTTGCTCCTATAAATGGAGCTTTGGGGAACAACAGCGAGGGAAGCGAAGGAGAGAAGAAGCGAGGTGAAGGTTGAGGAAGGAACACAAATCCGACCAAGTTCTTTTCCGGCGAAAAGTCCGGTCACCGATCTCCGTCGCCGGCCGGTCACCGTGCTCATTGCAGCACCTGCGGAGTAGGATGAAGAGGAAGTTGACTGGTCAACCATGGTCAACTTTGATTGACAGAGGGCAATTTTGTTTTATTTGGCAAATTTTGGATTTTTTTTCTAAGGAAGTCGTGATGGTGTTGTTAATGAATAAATTTTTTCTACGATTTAATTTTTTATTTTGATTTTTCTTTTTCTTGTGTACGTAATAACGATGTTTATGTGATAATTTGAGTCATGTTAACTCATTTATTTTTATTTTTCATCGTTTATTATATGATATTTTCATCGACTCGATCTATATCTTATGGCTATGTAACCTACTAATCTTTCCTATATATGGTATCAAAGCATTCTTACCAAAGATTATCAGGTTGCTGGGCCTTAACGACTAGCATGAGATATAAGATCGAAAAATTGGATCGAAATTTTAAGTACTCTCTGATAAATATAAATGTTATTTTAATAAACTAAACTTGTGACAAAGGTAATCCAGAAGGAGGTTAGCTCTATAACATTGATAAATATAATATACAATCAAAATCGATGTTGACACTTATGAAATGATGTGTGAAAGTCCCAACTACTTTAGTCGTTGTAGGAAAATATGGATCTATACTATATTATTAATGAATAAATTGAAACTCCATTTATAATAATTGATCAAATGTGCCTTCGATTGATTGGTCAACAAAATCTTTGATGTTAATGAATCATTCAACTCTTACATCTTTATCATTAGTTGAACTTTTCTTTCACGGTTAAACTCTTAATATCTAAATCCCCGACATTCATGAAACACGAAAGTCTCACGTACTAATCAATCATATCTCATGTCTTATTTCTTAACCATAGAATACATTAGAGTCTCCATGAGATAGATATGTATCTTATTCATGTTGACTTGCACCCGACCAAAATAAGACTTTCTCAGCCATATCATAGAAGCTTGGATGAGTGTTCAGACTTCATACACTCATAGGCAACTTCTTTCCAACCTCACACCATATGGAAAAGAAGGTCGAAATGACCTTTCATGCTAATTCACCTCTTCCGACCATTCATCGTGTCATGAGAAATATCTATACTTTTCTTTCAACACCGAAAATCTTCTTGACGTGCACGTCCGGCAACATCAACATTTTTATATATTTTTTTTCTTTTATATGAAAATATTTTTAAATAATTTACTCAGAAAATCGATCATAATTAGTTTTTTATCTAAGAGCATTCTTTTTTTTTTTTAGTTTACTTGGGAGCATCCTTAAGACAAAAAGAGAAAAAGTGTGCTCTTTGTTTTAAAGATTGTTAAGTAGTTTTATAGGGTTTGAGTGTGAACCTGTCCAAATTTGATTTAAAAATATCTAAAATCATCTAAAAATAGAAAAGCAAATGAATATAATTTTGACATAATAACGTCGATGCTTAGTTGGTGGGCATTAGTCCATTGGCTCTTTGAATGTGTGAGTAGAGTTTGGGTTCATTATGTTCTCTTCTTTATAAGCACTTGCTTCTTTATAAACGGCTATTTGAGTGATTTAAGAAAAATAACAAGTGAAAAATCGAATGCCATGTCGGCATGAATCCGACACCAAGTTAGATGTCTAATTAATCTTACGTATGTAATGATGCATAATCAACATATAATATTGACATTAATGCTTGACGAACGACACTTTTACGTTTGGGTAATAGTTAATGTTCTGATAAAACTATTTACTAAAAAATAATTATCTACTTAAATGGAGATAGTTGTTACATGTTCACATTAATTTTTGCCCGAACAACACGATAAGATGCAAGACTTTGACTTGCGTCTCAGCCATAGAAGATAAAAGATGGAAATCAAGGCGTCATGACTTATCATTGGAAAAGTCCTCTCTTCCAATATTTCACTCCATCCATATCAAACCATTCATCAAGTCATCAGAAATATCTCTATACTTTCCAACACTGAAAGTCTCCTTGACTTGCACGTCGGGGAACATAAACAATTTACATTCTTTTTTTGTTTTGTATAAAAATATTTTTGGACAATTTATTCAGAAAAGATGATCATAATTAGTGTTTATCGAAGAGCATTCTTTTTTTTCGAATTTACTCGAGAGCATCTTAAGACAGAAAAAGAACATGTATGCTCTTTATTTTAAAGATTTTTACGTACCTTTATAGTGTGAATCTATCCAAGTTTGATTTAAAAAACCAAAATCTATAAAATAATCTAAAAATAAAAAACCCAATGAAATTACTATTTAATGTTGTATTTATCTTCTATATTAAAATCGAGTTGAATAAGCTTTATGTCATTATACTTATACATATACCATGTTATATTCGATGATGACATAATCAACAGAGAATCACCTTAAAAATAGAAAAGAACAATGAAATCAACATGTATATTATATTTGCCTGCTCTATTGAAAGATGGAAGTTTGTGTTACACTTGTCACACTAGTAAATGAACGCTAAATGGAACCCTCACATCAGAATTAAGTTTCCTTTGACTTCTAACTGCGTATTAGCCACTGCATCAATTCTACAGATAATGTGTTAGACTTCGAAAGTTCAAGAGAAACTTAACTTCATTGTCCACTTTGGATACCGTAGGCTAAGATTACTTCGACAAAACATTTGTTCAGCGATCTTTGTCGAGTCCGTCACTTAAATCTCATTGCAACAGTTGTAAATAGAAAAAGTTGATTGGTCAAATTTTGTTATTGTTCAAACTCTCAATGGTAAGTTGTTAACGGTTAAATTGTTCACATCTAAATCTCCAACACCCAAATCTCTCATATTAATCAATCAACTCTCAATGGTATCAGATTTATGTCTCATTCACATAGGTTTGCATCCAAGGAACACGAACAAATGCAAGACTTCGACTTGCATCTCAGCCACATGATAGAAGCTTCGGTGAATATGGATGACTTCTCTCCAACCTCATGTCACGATAAGATGGAAATTAAGGTGTCGTGACTCATCCTTGGAAGATTCACCTCTTTCATCCCATTCCATTCATATCAAATCATTCATATCAAACCGATAGTTTCCTTGACTTGCAGATCGGGAACGTAAACATTTATATCCTTTTTTTTTTTAAATGAATGCTCAATGGAACCCTCACATCAGAATTAAGTTTTCTTGACTTCTAACTGTGTATTAGCCTCACGTGATTCTCGTGGTGTTGTCGAGTAAGCTTCTGATTTAGCTTTCATGCACATCATTTCATCGAATCCTTTCATCGTGATACTAATCTTAGGACAAAGGTTATCTCGAAGGAGATTAGCTGTGTAATATCGATAAACGTGACAGCCAGTCAAAATCGATGTAGACATTTGAGAAATTAGGGCCCTCTCCAACTTACATGAATCGGCCAACTCTCACTCACATTAGACTTAAGTGCTTCGCAGCTTCTATCATGTTGTTGCTTCGTGAGTGGAAGTTAGGTCCCTCTCCAACTTCTATGGATCATCCATCCTCACATCAGAATTCGGTGGGCGCCCGAGACTTTGACTTGCATCTTAGCGACACTAAAGTCAAAGTGTGATTGACCTTGACTGCGTGCTAGCCACGGGATCAAATCTACAGGGAATGTGCGCAGATGTCACGGGGCTTTCCGGTGGTGATGTGCCTATATATACATGCCCACAGAGGTCTCCTCTCCACCCTCACACCTTCACTCTTCTCTTCTCTTGAGCGCTCAATCGATGGCTGCGGCTGGTAGCGGCAGTTTCCAGAACGGACGTATTGCCTCGAAGGGCCTCATGATGCTCGTGACCTTACTTCTCGTCTCCTGCTGTCCCGGCTATGGCTTCGGCGATGAGGATCATGTCGAGGTGGAGGGAATCAGCAGCAGTTGCATGGAGAGCGAGAGGAGAGCTCTCCTCGCCATCAAATCCGATATGTACGACCCCGACAACTGGTTTTCTTCTTGGACCGGCAAAGACTGCTGTGGGTGGAGAGGTGTGGCCTGCGACCACACCACCGGCCATGTCACCAAGCTCGACCTCCGCTACCCCTACACATACGAATTGTGGGATATGTTTAACGATGGGGAAACAATAGGCGTGAGCAAGGTAAATCCATCTTTGCAAGAACTGAAGCAATTGAAGTATTTGGATTTGAGCATGAATAACTTCTCCCACGCCCCTGTGCCCAAAATGATCGCTTCACTAGTCCACTTGGAATATCTCAACCTATCTTATGCCATGTTCAATGGACCAATTCCACCTCAGCTGGGGAACCTCTCCAACCTACACTATCTCGACCTTCAACGATGGTATGATGATGATTTTCTACATGTTGATGATCTCGATTGGCTCTCCCGTATTCCTTCTCTAAAATATCTTGACATGAGTTATGTCAACCTCTCCAAAGCAACCAATTGGTTCTACATAATTAATTCAATCCCCACACTTGAAGTGCTACATTTGTTTTTTGTAGACCTGCCATATGTTCCATCTCCTTTGCCCCCTTTTAATCTGACAGCCATCGCCACGTTGGATCTGTCTTGGAATTCCAACATCACGTCTGCCATGCTAAGATGGCTTTCTAACGCCACCAGCCTCGAGAACCTCCTTCTTTCTGGCTGTGGGAGTCTCACTATCGAGTCGTTACAAGTTGCTCTCGGAGCTTTCAGTAATCTGAAGGAGTTGGATTTGTCAGACAACTTCTTTAAAGGAGAGATTCGTGAAATTCTGAACAATGTCAGTAGCAGGGGCCTGAAGCACTTGGATTTGAGCTCCAATCAATTATCTGGAGATATTCCTCCAGGGAGCCTTAGAGACCTGGAGTACCTGGACTTATCAACGAATTTAATTGTCGACGTACATATCTTAGCTTCTCTGGGGAAACTCACAAACTTGCGACATTTACGGTTGTCGGGCAATTCAATCAGTGGAGAAATTCCACCAATCGTGGGAGATTCTGTCCGATTGGAGTACCTAGATTTGTCCTTTAATGGCATCATTGGAAAAATACCACAGAGCATCGGCAACCTCACCAACTTGGTACACTTAGATTTATCATACAACAATCAAATTTCTGGAGAAATACCATCAACCATTGGGGGTCTTCAAAACCTGTATTTGTTATGTTTACGCGATAACTCTATTATTGGGCAAATACCTGATACGATTGGCAGACTCCATAGTTTGAAGTACTTGGACATATCAAATAATAATTTATCAGGTTTACTACCAAAAACAATGGGTGGTCTGTGCAACTTGACCAAGATAGATTTGTCTCAAAACAACATTGGTGGGGAGCTAACTAATCTATTTGATGGTTTATCTGCCTGCACACAATGGACATCTTTACTATCCTTATATATGCAGCGCAATCATTTAAACGGTACTATTCCTTTAAGTATGGGTCGAATATCTCAATTACAAGATTTATACCTCTCCTCAAACTCTCTAGTAGGTAACATCACCAAAGCACACTTTTCTAATCTCACAAACTTATTAGGATTTACAATATCTTCCAACTCCTTGAATGTGATCCTACCAAATGATTGGCATCCCCCTTTTAATGTCGAATTTATTGGTATGAGCTTTTGTCATTTAGGAGCTGAATTGCCTGCTTGGCTTCAAACTCAGACGCAATTGACAACTCTATATCTATGTGGAGTAGGACTCTCGGGCAACCTCCCAATTTGGTTTTCAAATTTCTCAAGAGGATTGCAGAGTCTTAACATGAGCTCCAACAATTTACAAGGTCGACTACCTTTTGCTCCTCAATTGATGTTAGACCTCTCCAATAACTCATTTGTGGGACCTATTCTCCCAAGCTTCGCAAAAGCTACAAGTCTTTCTCTATTATCTTTGTCTCATAACCATATCAATGGTAACCTGCCTCCCTTCTTTTGTCATATGCAATCACTTCAGGTTCTTGACCTATATAACAATTACTTAGTTGGAGAAATCCCGAATTGTTATTACTCATTCCCAGCCTATTTACAATCTTTACATTTGAATAATAACAATCTATATGGAACAATTCCTTTGTTTTTGAAACATTGTGACCAATTAATTACCCTTGATCTTGGTGAAAATAAATTGCATGGCAGAATTCCAACATGGATAGGAAGAAAGCTCTCGTCGTTGAGAGTTCTTCGTCTGAGGGCAAACTTTCTATATGGTACCATCCCAATGAATATAGTGAATCTCACTTCGCTCCAGGTATTGGATCTTTCTTCCAACAATCTAACTGGCAGTCTACCATCATCTCTAGGAAATTTCAGGGCCATGGTTGAGATACAAAATGATATCACGTCAGTGCTTCATATCATAACATATTATTATGAAGAGAGCATCTTGATGACCACAAAAGGATCAACGATTGATTACACAACCATTCTCTCGCTGGTGACCTGCATAGACTTGTCAAATAATCATCTCTCTGGTGAAATCCCAAAAGAACTGACAAAGCTTCTCGGATTGCGCTTCCTAAACTTATCCAACAATCATTTGACGGGGAGGATTCCAGAAAAGATGGGTGACATGAAAACATTGGAATCGCTTGACTTATCTGTGAACAGTCTGATAGGGGAGATACCTTCGAGCTTTTCTGCTATGCATTTCCTGGAACGTTTGAATCTGTCTTACAACAACTTATCAGGAAAAATACCCACGAGTGGTCAATTGTCGACCTTTGACTCATGGACATATGTGGGTAATAAAGGCCTTTGCGGTATGCCGCTGCCAGATTGCCCTGTTTATCAAACTCCACCTGACGCCAGAGCTAAACATGAAGATGATGAGAAGCTCGACAAATTATTGAAGAAAGCGAAGGCCTGACGACAAATTATTGGCACACTCATCTTGAAGCAGGCCATCAGATTCGCTTTCTTCCGATGGATCGACAAAACCAGCGACTGGGTCTATGTTCAGTTTGCAGTAAAGCTTGCAAAGCTCAAATCCAAATGGCAAACGATGACATGAACTGTGGGTAAGCGCTCGAGTGTGCCACCTCTTCTATTAGACCTTAATGTCATGTTGTCCTTCGTAGTTAATCGCATCAAAATCTTGTGTTAGCATGTAATGGTGTTATCATATTATGCTGTCATGATTAAGCTGAAATAAGCATCATGGATTCTCTGTATACATTACATGTATTAGTTCTAGTATCATAACATCTCCATCCATCATCACTTTGCTATCGTCAGGCCTTCGCTTATGGATTGATACATACATATCTGACAACTAAAAAGATTAATTGCAAGAGTGTATGTCATACTCTGTTTGCTAACGAAATAGTTAATCCACTTATATATAATCGATGTTTGAGAGGGAAGATTGTGTTCTTCTGTTAGTGTCCTTACGATAGAAAAAAAATCAACTACGTTATTATGATCAAATTAGATAAAGATAATGACAATCACAGTGTGGAGAGACAATTAGACAATAAAATTGTGACAATCGATGTTTTATTCGAGTGAAGAATCTTTCTTCATTTTCTACCAGAGAACATTTTTTTTTCTGCAAAATAAAATCCATGTCCGTCAATTTTTTTTAAAAGTAAATTATTATTAATAAATAAGTTTTATAAATTCGTATCAATCCCACTCTAGACTGCTTATTCCTATCAGTTTTGGTGCTAAAGCTTGAGACCTTTAATAATTATCTTAAGAGAG